CATTAATTCAAGCCCTTCGCCCGAAGTATATTGCCCGTCGGTTGCTTGAGATCAACGAACGAGGTACCTGGAAGGATCCTGCCCAGCATTCTCTCAGCAACGCTCAGCTCATGAAGCAAGATGAAGAAATCTTCCAGATCGCACGCCTGAACAACTGTGCATGGTTTGCAGCGATCGTTTTCTCCGACTACTTTTCGTGCATTTTGGGCTTGGTGCGACAAGGGTCAAGCTGGAGTTTGGAGCCGTTCGACGAAATACGTGACAAAGATCACCAGATCTTCCAACGCGGCCGCGGTAATGCTTGCAGTGTTGAATTTAACTGCTTGTACAGATGGCATGCAACGACCTCCGTTGAGGATGAGGAGTGGATTACTCTACAGTTCCAGAAACTCTTCCCTACCAAGAAGCCTGAGGAGATTACCTTGAAGGATTTCTATCAGGCTGAAGTGCAGGTCGAGAAGACGGATCTTGATCAATGGACGTTCGGGAAGTGAGTAACCCGAGACTACCGTTGGTGCTACTACTAACATGCCCTTGCAGCCTCCAGCGTCAGACCGAAGGTCCGAACGCGGGTGCGTTCAAAGACTCCGAACTTGCGAATTACATCATGAACGCGTTCGTGATCACCACATCCTGTCTTTTGTTAAATTGACGCATGCTCTTAGAACCTCCCAACACGCTGCTGCCTTCGGTGCTCGTGGTACACCCTCAGTGATGCGTCTTCATGAGATCATGGGTATCGAAGCTAACCGATCATGGGGTGTTTGCTCGCTCAATGACTTCAGGAAGTTCCTTGGTTTGAAGAGTAAGTCAACAGCTCCGACACCTCTCTTGGATACTCAGGGCCGTACAGCATACTCTAGTTTCTTGGAATGGAACCCCGACGTCGAGATCGCCGAAGCTGCCGAAAAGCTTTATGGTCATATTGACAACTTGGAGCTGTATGCTGGTCTACAGGCTGAGGCTACCAAGCCTCTTAGGGAGGGCGCAGGACTCTGCCCCGGTATTACCTTTCCGTGTAGACGCCACTAGCGAAGACTTACATGTTTTCTAGGCTACACTATCTCTCGTTCCATTCTGTCGGATGCCATAGCTCTGACTCGTGGTGACCGGTTCTTCACGCAGGACTTCACACCATACAACATGACTGCCTGGGGTTTCGCTGACTGCCAGCGAGACCCTGACGGCTACGGGTTCGGTTCTACGCTTGGTCGCCTCCTCCTCCGCACCTTGCCCAACGATTATACTATAGACAGCATCTACACTTGGTTCCCTTTCATGCACCCTGAGCCTATGGAGGGTTACTTGAAGAAACTTGGCAAACTCGATGGATACTCTCTTGCACGGCCAAAGCCTTCTGGGCCTTGTACCACTGTGACTAATTACGTGGAGGTTGGCCAGGTGCTTCACAGCGCTGAAAAATTCGTGCCTGAATACGTCGAGCGGGCAGCAAAGGTCATCAATGGCAAGGGGTACGTTTGATACACTGCTGATTTGATTGGTGCTAACAGGTTAAATAGCTTCTTTGCGGCATCTGAAAGTGCAGCTGAAGAGCAGAAGTGGTTCATCAGCGCACTTGCTCCTTCTCCAGACGCTGTCTCTACGATTGGCACCTACTTCTACAACGAGACCAAGGAACTCATCGAGCAACGCTCGTTCCCTTTGATTGGCGGGAAGACTCGTGCAGTCAACATCGTCCGAGATGTGTTGAAGGTTGTGCCATTGCGCTGGGCTGCCACTGAAGTTGTGCGTCTGTGCTGGATGGATGATTCTATGATATCGACTCATTGTAATCACAGGCTGGCATTTCTCTCAAGACGAAGCAACATCCTGATGGCGTCTTCACTGAGTCTCAGTTGTTTGACATGCTTTCGGAGACCTACCAGTCAGTCTTGACGTACCGTTCCTCTGCAGTGATCACTAACATTCTCCCAAGATTCATCTTCCTCGAGGTTGAGGCAGCGAAGTATATGATTTTGAAGCAAAGAGTCAAGGACCACGTGCGAGAACTGACCCGCCTCATCAAGAGTGCTCTTGGCTATGCGGGGAGCAAAATGCCTCTTGCTGGACTATTTGACACATTATCTGACCTCTTTGGAGGTAGAGGCAAGAACCACCATGAGATAGTCAAATGCTTGTTCGAGTTTGGTTATTCCACCGAAGAGGTCGTGAACTCTATCCTTGCGTTGTTGGTCGGGGCCACTGTCGAGATGTCTCTTGGTATGTTCTTCCTGCTTCTTGTCATGGAGACAAGTCTCAGAATGTGACTATCATAGCTTTGACGAACGTCGTTAACCAGCTCCTTGATTCGGAGAAGAATTCACTAGTCACCATACAATCGGCTAAGAGTGCGGATACCAAAGATCTTCATAGTCTGACTGCCTATACCATCGAGGCCCTCAGTGCGTGTTCTGTTTTGGCTGATATGCACCTTTGACATCTGTCTCAGGAATCGACCCACCTTTCGCTGGTGTCTACCGTGTCGCAAAGCAGGATGGAGTCGTGGACTCTTCGACTGTTAAGCAAGGTGAACGCCTGTTCTTGGATATTGCCACAGCAAACAAGAACGTAAGTCATTATCATGCAAGGTCCTGTGTCTCTCTCTAACGTGACATTCAGGAGGCTGCATTCCCCAATCCAACAATCTTGGATACTACTCGTACTCGTAAGCGCTATCTTCGTGGTGACGGTTGCTTCAAGGTTCTTGGAGATGATCTTGCATCGACGATCATCGCTCAGGTCCTCCGCGGCATACTTTCTTTCGACAATGTTCGTCGTGGCCCTGGTCAGTCAGGGAATCTTCCTCGCTTCCAAGATGGTGTACTCCCGATGCTACGTTATGCATACCTTGACGAGAAGATGTTGCCCAGCGCGTGGCCGACGTCGATGGTCATTAATTACGACGTGTCTTCATGAAATGGAGTGGCTGTGCCGATTGTTGTTTTGGAGAGCCCACCTCTTGTTGTTCTTGCTTGCCCTTATTAGTCAAAATAACAGCTAAACCCCTGATATCAATGTTCTGCCTTATTCATCCTGGTCATGGATTGGCTTTATACACACACTTTTGATGGTATATACACTTACTAGATCATTTGTAAAACAGTCAAGAAGTAAAATCATCAAAAATGCAAAAATGTGTGTCTCTGCAAGCAGGAGGAAGTATTAGCCTACACAGGAGGATTCTGCTGCTGTCATGATATTTCTATGACGTATATATACTTTATATACACCTAGAAACATAGTCCCTACATTTCTGGAAGGCTGGAGCCCCAGGAACAATTTCCCAGGGGTTTGAATCAGCAGGAGACATCAGCAAACAGTGTTTTGCTGATGAAGGGTAGTAATATAGCATCACAGAGACTGATCCTGCTATTCTGTGCTCCTGATATATTGTGTATACTACTGAAGTGTTGCTTTGTATCATATTTTAAGTCTATATAATCAGAAGAAAAAAATGCAACACTATTTTGTATTTTTAATGTGCATACTATATCTAGTGATGTAGGGTGCTTCAGAGGCTCAAATAAGCGGTAGAATACATTCATATTTACCCCCAAACATATCACTAGTGTGATAGAATACCCTGTCATTGAAGGAATAAAATTGTGGAGGTGTTTTGGATATGTTTTCCCCTGTATTATACTTGCAGGGGTCTGTAGCATGTACTAGGATAAAATGGACAAAAAAAGAATTTTATTGTGTCCCGTGATATGTACCTAGCATAACCTAATACTTCTATAGTAGATGGGTGGGTGTGGTGTAGTGCTGGGCAGCAATACACTGGGAAGAAATGTGGGAAAGGTTGATATCAAGGAGGTCACCAAAACAGGCTATGTGCTGGGTGATGGGACAAAGTTCCCACTGTTCCCAAAAGGCTACTGCAATGCATCAGACTGGAATACATCATGCATCAGAGATCTAAGGGGAGGGCTAGGATTACAGCCATAATACATTATCCTGTCAGGGACAGGTGACAAGAGACGTGCAGGGTGTAATCAGGTGACATTGATATTTGGTGGCCATGACATAGAGTGCCCAGAAGTTGGATCATCAAAAATGATGCAGTTCCAACTGGACATGCTGTGGGCAAAACTAGTAAGTTTGTGTGTTTGTGTTAATGCAACAGCTTGATCAGTGGAATTTGGAGGCATTGTTACATAAATTTGTTGGAGTTTAAAATAAAAGGTAAGTATCATGTTCCAGTTTCTGGTACTCCCACTTCCATTTATGGAATCTGCTCAACTGGTTCCTTCCCCATTTGAATAACCCCTTTTTTCTGGCCTATCAGCTATGTATATTTTATCTGCTTACTGATCTGTTAACCTATTTCATTTCTGGTTCCATTTTACTTATGATCTGTCCTACTTTACTAATGATCTACTGTACTTACCAATGTATGTTCAACATTCACAGACTGTTAGAAATATGATCTTGATGGCTCTAGTGTAGCTTACATAATCATGCAGCTGCATGTATTGTGCATGTATGTAGCTAACAAAGTTACTTTTCACTATCATCATTGTCAACTCAGCCTATTAACATTTACAGGTTATAAGCCCTGGCTTGTAAGCCACTGTGCCCCCACTTGCCCAGCTTTGATTAGAATTGCCACTGAACAGTCCCTAGCTACAACTTGACCCTATATAGTCTACTTATATGCCACTATATTGAGCCCCTTCAGTGAATTCACCCGTCTCAGACGGGCAGCCGGGCGTGACAATGTACCAATAGAGACGGGCCACCTGGTGCCGGCCCATGGCAATAATTGTACCGTGTTAGACGAGTGGGCCGAGGGGGTGGAGTGTCCAAGGCAAACAGATGGGCCGGGTGTATATAGTATAGATGGTAGTATAGCAATGTACTATATAGGAAATTATGAATAGTAGTAGTGAATCCAGTGTGTGATAGATGAGTGGGCTGGAGGAATGGAGTGCAATATAGACGAGTGGGCCGGGGAACTGGGGTGTGATGGAGACGAGTGGGCCAGTAAATGAGGTGCAATGGAGACGAGTGGGCCGGTACATAAGGTGCAATGAAGACGAGGGGGCCGGAGAATAGGGTGCAATTGAGACGAGTGGGCCGGTATAGCAGGTGCAATGGAGACGGGTGGGCCGGTATAGCAGGTGCAATGGAGATGGGTGGGCCGGTAAATATGGTGCAATTAAGACAAGTGGGCCGGTATAGCAGGTGCAATGGAGACAGGTAGCAGAATGGAGATGGGTGGGCCG